ATCGGTTGGCGACCCAATTCGGGGGGGTCAGAATGGATTAACCATATTTACATTGAACCTTATGGGAAAATTTGATTCGGGCCGCGACCAATTTGGGTCGCGACCAGAGTCGCGGAACGAATTAAGTTCGTGACCCGAGGTACCACTGTATTAGCTCTACTTCCTGCTTACTCCTCACCTCCCAACTTCAAACTTCCATTTTGCCCTTGACTCCAGTCAGTGTGCTTTAAGCTTCTGAATAAAGTGAATCTTGCACATCTGTGGTCTAGGGCTTCACCCAAGCTTTAGTTCTACATGAAATAACACAGACAGCCATTTTGCTCCAGAGCTAAGATAAGTGTTAGGCTATTTCATCTGTTAATGGCCAGAGTCAACTCGTTTTTGTGTTTTCAGAACGAAATTACTGCTAAATATTGCTCATCACTATGAAGGCACCATAGTGGAGAAAGATGCGCCTTCAGTCCTTTGCCTAGAGCTACCAATTCTGGGCTACAAAAGTAGCCCTATATTACGACCATAGGCCTTGTTCCACTCAAGGCGTTCCACACCCTGGAGTCCCTGCCCCCAAGCCATGGGAACACATCTAGGACCGGCCACCTCACTGCAGTCCCTCTCCATACCAGGTCCCTCACAAAGGAAGAAGATTATGACACCCAAAGCGACTCCAACCCCTCGGTAAGACATGGACGTGTAGCCAGACTCGAGGAGAATTTGCTCCACGCCAGAGCGCCGGAGGGCGTTCTCGCTCTATCACCATGGCAACGAGAGGGAGGAAAGGCATTCCATGCATCCCCCTTAGTTACGACTCAGAACCCAAACCCTTCTGTGACTCCGCGGCCTCCTACCGGCTCCGCCCTTCCCTGAGAAGCATCATCTACGTCACCTGCGCCTCTCCTCCTTCTGATCGCCGGTGGTCGCGTAAACTTCATTGGCAATACGTCATCAGAATGCGACTCTTGGGACTCCATCCCTTGCTAAAGTATTGCTAATTTGTGTACGAAGTGCAGTCGTGAAGCGCATAGGCAGCGAAACGACCTTCGTGGCCGTGGGGGCAAGGAAGGGTGCGGGGAGAACGTGGGGAAACTCTTTTGCGCGCGGAGGCGAAGGCGACTTTCCTGGGTTTTTCTTCGTTTGGTGCCTGGGCTTTCTGAGTTGAAAACCATGAAGCCACCATCAAGGCTGCGTTCGGCGCCCGCTCGCTACAATCTGGGCCCCACAACCCGAGTTTGGACAGATCGAGAAAAGCGACGTCTTCTCCAGGCCTTGAGAGCTCAAGCTCAGACTCCGGGCCCGCTGCGGTCGGAACTGCTGAAGAAATATTTGCCTTCCAGAAATGAAGACGAGGTGGGTTTAGGCGCAACCTGTGGGGTGGGATAGCTTAAGAGGCTTCGATGGGGTCATACTAAACTGAAAGACAAGAACATCTGTAGTAATTTGTGGGAGTAGAGAGTGACTGCTAACCTGTTTAGGCTCTGATGAAATCACCTCGAGGTACACAGGAGCTACATATAAAACATAATATCTACTTGTAATAGTATAGCCAAAGCAGTCAACAGACTCATGTTGTATCTATTTCTTTGCCCTATTGTACTTGCTTTCAAAATCTTATACTATGTTCTATAAAATACCTATTGCTCATGGATCACTCTGATTTCAGTTAACCTAGTCACTATTTAAATCTGGACATTCTTATCTTTCATTTTAATATGGCCCATTTTGAGTTTCAACTGTCTCAGTATGAGATGAATAATACCAGTGGTCTGGCTTGAAGTTGGGAACTTAGTATCTTTCTAACTGTGAAGTGAGTTTGGAAGTGACATGGAGTGCGTTGGAGTGATGCAAACAGGACATTTAAAGATGAAGTGGGAGAGTCCCAAGCTTTTGAAAATATTTTGAAGGAGAGAAGGCTAATGTTATTAGTACAAGGAAAGTAAAATAAATTTACAATCAGCAGATATCTCTGAGGACTACTTACAAATCGTTGTCTCTCATAGAAAATGTGGGACATAAACAGTAAGATTCTGCCTTGCATATATGTGTTCAGCTGAGTGTGTACAGCTTTTGAACAGTAAAATTTAAGGTTATCCCTCTTGGTCTAAAAAGAAGCCTAAATACCAAAAGGAATACTCCTTTTTTAGGTCTATATGGTGAATAAGTTTTCTAATTTTTAAGAATTCATCACCAAGCCAAATTTAAATCAAAGCAGGTCTGTTTATAGAAAAATATCCGACATATTTGTGTGCATTTCTTACATTTACATCCAGCCTTTTTTCCAAAGAGTTCAAATAGCATACGTGGAGTCTCCACACATTTTCATCCTCAAAATTACAACTCTGTGAGATATGTTGTACTTGAGAAATAACTGGTCCAAAGTCATCTGTTGAAGCTCCATGGTTCAGCTGAACTTGAATTTGGAGGTCTCTGTGTTCCCAAATGCATTAACTACTACATTTCACTGGCATTAAAGATACATAGACGGTATTGTTCATCCTTAGGATAAATTGTGGGAAGGATTAGGCCAGAGTTTTTCAAACTATGTTCCACGGAACCCTAGGTTTCCATGAGAGAAAAAAGGCCAGGAAAAAAAAAAAGTTCAAACACAGCCAGCTTTCTGTTACTAAAGCTTTGCTTCTTGATAAGAGGTTCCAGTTTGTTTGTTTACATAACAGGTTGCAGCGCCTAAAACGGTTTGAAAACCTCTGGATCAGACTCTCCTGAAAGTTATACTTAGGTTTCAGTTTATACTTAGTGTTTGTGGGCAAAGAATGATCATTAATGGGTGATTCTAGTTCTCCATTTTTGAAAATGTAAAATTCAGTAGATGCCTAAATCTGTTTCTGCCATCAGCAAAACTTACAGGTAAGAGGATCCCATTCATGAAGTGGGTTGGATATAACTATTCCTGTGACTGACAAAGCACAAAGTTACTGAAAACAAAATGATTCTGCTTTGTTGTAGTCTTGCTTCTTATTTACACCAGGAAAAAAACTGCAGTTGTTCTGGGAATAATCATTTTTGGTGTTGTTTTAAGAGTAGAATGCTGCCTTCTTCAAAGCATTCATGCGTGGTGTCTTTCAGATCTTAGCATTTGTGGATCAGCTGAAAGAACGCGTGGCAAGGGAAGCAGTCAAGGCACAGTATCGCTATCGCCAGTGCAAACAGAAGGATGCCCCAATTCCAGCGCCTATAGAGGTCTGAAATTATTAAAAGTATGGTTACAGAGATATGACAAGTAGGCTAAAAGATATTCATTTATCTGTCTCATATTCCCTATTCTAGGTATGGATTCGGTTAGCTGAGAAGTTGACAGGTTGCCTTGAGGAAGCAGTAACAGCTGCTTTTTCCCAGGTAACAGTGGTATCCTCTCTATGACATAATGTTATTAAGATAAATATGCTATGAATTTGTGAGGTTTTTAAGTTTGGATATGCAAGAGTTCCCTTGAAACAAGCAAATCTACCATTATTAATCACAGCTATTCAATCCTTCAATCTTGGTCTTTCCAAGCAAAGATATAATGGTGGAAAATGTACTCTATAGAGAATTTCTGTTTTCTGGCACTTGTGTTAGTGAAGATTTTTTTTTTCTGGTTATCTTAACTCTGTTCTTCTACACTCATTAGGTTTTAACAATTGCATCTGCAGAGCCACTCTGCTTGCTTCACTCTGTGCCTCCAAAGCCTGTAGAATTAAAAACTGCTCAATGCATGTCCCCAACTATTCCTAGCAAGAATATGAAATCCAATATAGAATCTGAAGAAGCAACTATATCATCTGATGTAGAGCAGTTGACCCCTGCAGAAAATGAATTACGTGTCGACTTTGAAAAGATATACAAGTATCTTTCAGTGATCTCACGGGGATCTAAAGCACCAGAGCTACCACCTGGTGGTAAGTGAGGATTTAGATCAAGATGAAGGGATAAGATGAGCTATTCCTGCATCTAGAGCTGTATCTATTTACCTTTTTTGTGGCAATAATTATTTTATTTACTCTATCTTTAAATCTTTTATTGCTTTTATACCTGCTTCTTTTTTACTATCATGTTCTTTATAATAAATTTCATTTTTATAAACTGCCCAGGATTCTTATTGAAGGGAAGGATGTTAAATTTTATAAATGCTGCATGGAATGAAAAAGCCCTAGAACTGGAAAGAACATACTGATGTCTCCAAGGTTTTCAGTACATTTAAAAGCTTATTTATTCGAAGTGTGACTCCTTGGTGCAAAATACTTTATATTTGTTATTACAGAACTGATGTGTGAAAGCTATAAAATGAGTAGTATTTACAGTGAAGGAAGCAAGAATGTAGGAGTTGGATAAGCATTTGAGGTTTTGGTTGTGTTGTTGGTGCGAATCATACATGTATACAAAATAATGTTCCAAATTCACAATAAAGCAGTTATTTCACTTTACATAATTTCAAGAGTTTCACTATAGGAATTAACAGGGACTCAAAACAAACTAGCTCCCTAGTTTTCCAATTGTAGAGGTACAGAAATGGAATGGAAGTCCATCTGGGCTCTACCTACAACACAATCTACAGAAAAATCACCCAAACATTTTAAACTTTCCATAGCAAATAAAAGAGCAATCATGAAGCATAGAGTCTGTGCTGCAATGTTTTAAAAATAGTTTCCCATCCAATATTTCTAAGGCCAGCCCTGTGGGCCCACCTATTTTTGCATGCAAGGAGAGGCTTGTTTCAAGTGCCAATTATTCCTTATGAGCTCAAAACAAAACTTTTTGCTTATTAGCAATGTTCATGGAACAATAGTTGAGATTTTAGAGTAAGGAACATTTTTAAATGCAAATTTCTCCATGTGAAAATAGGAATGACATGCAAGCTTAGAGACTTTTCTAGATATGTAACAGGGAAATTATAGCTGTTATTACAAGGATTAAAGTTTTCATTTAGCTTTTCATATAAAAAGCTCAATGTTAGAAATTGTCTTAAATCTCTAAAATGTGGTATTTTAAATTCAAATAAGTTGATGCAGGAAGGAGTGAACAATATAATGCTTATTTTGCTAGATCTTTTTGGGAAGTATTGGAAAACAAAATTTGAGAAAATTTCAATTAGAAAATAGAAAAATACAACATGAATTAGCTGCCATACGCTACTTATATTTTGCTTCTTTTATTGCTTTCTGCAGAGTCAGCTGTTCTACTAGATCTTCTTTTATCATTATCAGAAGAGCTGAGTCACCTGGATTATAAGAAACTTAAGGGGCATATGCACAAATGCTATATGGATTTAAGTGCACACAGTACAAATGAAAAAAGCAGAATGAAAGCAGAGATCAGCCAGCTTGTAAACCATAATGAAGATCTTCATGAAACATATGATGTACCATCAGCCAGAAATAGCTTTTCACAACATCAAGAGGATATTAGTTCTAGTGCTTCTTCTACAAGTGGCACAACATCAGCATCTTCCACTGATTGGAAGACTCTGGGTATCTGCCCGTTGAATTCATTCTGGTTTCCTTTGGATATTCTAGCACAAAAAAGAGAGAGCTTGGATTGAGGACTCTATGCTATTAGATGAATGTTGTATCTTCGTATCTGTAAGAGTGGGAAAAAACTTTAAAAATCTTCCATCTTTTGCCAGGTGTGGTCCTTTTTGTTCTACTTCATTTATGGATAAGTCTACTTTGTGTTTTTAAATTAATGATGTATGTGGCTGTTTAGAATTTTTCCTCCAAAAATCCTTAAATTTACTGGTTATTGGAAAACCAATATCATCTTAGAAGGTTTGTGCTTAACACAATGATCTGAGTATGTATCTTTGTTCTCAGGATATGGATTATTCCAGATATAGCTAATGCAATCAATGTTATTAAAGTGTTCCTGCAATATAATAGAGCTGAAATGTTTTTTCAGCACTATGAAAAATATAAAATGATTCTGAAAAAGATTGCATCCTCCTTCGTGTGTAATTGGCCAAGTTCTTTTAATTCAAGATCACTTTGAATAATCAGCTTCTGTAAGTTGGTGGTGAGGCAAAACTCCTGTTTCCTAATTTCTGGTTTCCTACTTGGTGGAATCACTTCATAAAAATAAAAGATGACTCCGAATTGAGTGAGAATTTCAAAATCTCATTTAATCTGATGTTTGCAACATGGTCAACCTGCAGTAGCTTCAGGGCAATGATTGGTCCTCAGACCACAGATTGGGAACTATTAATATAAGTATAGCTCTGTAACATCTTCATTAAAAAATGAATAGCGGTATAGTATTAAAATATTATCTTAAGCAGTTCTGACAGAAAATGTTTCCTATAATTGCTTGCTGTACATGTAGAAGAGGGTGCATTTTTAGCAAGTATCATATGCAATGTTACTTAAGTAGTATAAGTTAAGTTTAGTTCAAAAGATGTTCAGATTCTGAACCCAATCAATTTGTTTCAAGTTCTATCAAAGGAACAAATTCTATTCTTGAAATTGCAACACAGTATAAATAGAAAACTCTTTGTAGGCACTAGGATGTGATATACATCATTGTATCTGGTTTGCTTTCTTTTAATCTTGAGAAGCTATACTGTATACAATACTGTACTGCACAGAACAAATCTTAGATGAAAGTGTCATTTTCTTCTCTGCAAACTTTTCAATTTAAAACTGTAAGAACTTTCTCAAAATTGGTACATTAAGAAAAGCAAAATGGTCCAGGTGGTAGAATTATCAATCATGAATTTAATAATAATTGTTAAATAAAATCTTGTTTGATATATTAAGGAAATAATTGAGTCTTTTATGTTAATTTTATTTTTCATTCAATAATGTCAAATACTCATTATTCACACAGTGTAAATGCTGTTTGAAGTAAATATCCTAGCAAAATTTGGCTGTTCTGTCAAGATAGCTTCAAGTAATTTTTAAGACCTGCCAATGGTATCTCGGTAATGGAGTGATTTGGGTTAAAACCTCAGTGTTCATTTTAGGCAGATGGACTGTCCATATTTGTAGAAACAATGTCTCATATAGCTCCTACTCTTCTTCACAATGCTTCAACACTTTATAGAAATACTGAATCTGTAGCAGCAGTTGTTCCAAAAGTAAATTAATTAATAAAATGGTACCAAGGATTCTCAGTCCGTAACGTTTTCATTTTCTTTATCAGCTTGAATATAGGGATGAAAAGAGGCCTAAAGAGCAAGAGCAAACAAAGTCAGTCTCATATTATTAAATGCCTTGGGCAGAGAAGCAGTCCAGCCCCTTAAAAGGATTATACTGAGATCTACTTTGATCTATTAAAACTATAAAAGTTCTGGCCTGTAGTTTATTAAAGAAGATGAGGGTAAATGGAAAATACCTTTAGCAAGAACTGAGGGCTACAGACCAGAAATAATTGTTCAAGAGTTTGGGACAGTTCTATCCGGAAACTTCAGTAATGCCACTAGTTGTCTATGGGCCTTGTTCTAGTCTCCTGTAACTCTCATCCCCCAGGCGTCCAGCCTGTATAGGAATATATTATCTCCAAGCTGTAGTAGTCTGGAATAGCCTAGTGACAAGTTACCTGATTTAGAAACTGGTCTTTCTTCAGCTCCCTGTAGAATCGCAGGACACATGGATTAGCTCTCACTACCTTGGCATCAAAATCTAAAACTCGAAGACTTGCAAGGCTACGGGCTCGAGAAAGTGCTACATATGCCTGCCCGCTTTCAAACACGCGAGCCAGAGAAACCTCAGCACAGTCTAAAGACATACCCTAGTAAAAGAAAAAGAAGTGAAGATTGATAAGGTAACTAGTATGCAAGACTCAGCTAGGATGTAGGAACACCAACAGTGCAATAATGTACAGGTTGTCCTCAACAGCAATTGGGACCAGAATTTCCATCGCTAAGCAATGTGGTTATAATCCTGGGAACCCTGCAGTCCCGGTTGCCATCATTAACTGAATCCCATGGTCATTAGGCGAGGCAATTTCCTGCCAGCTTCCCAACCAAAGTCAGTGGGGAAGCCAGCAGGAAGTTGCAGGTCCCAGGCTCACAGGCAGGTAAGTGGCTACTGCCAGGTGCAGGGGGGAGTGAGGGTGTGGGGGAGGGTGTGGGGGGGTGCAAGAAGTGCACAGATCGGGAAGGATGTACAGGGGTGCACGAGAGGCACCGTGCTGATCAGGGAGGGTGCATGAAAGGTGCCACATGGGTCAGGGAGAATACGAGGGTGTGCAAGAGGCACCACATGGGTCAGGGAAGGTGCGTGAGAGGCATTGCATGGGTTGGGTACACAGTAGTGCATGAGTGGCCATTGTAGCACAAGCACAGAGGGGCTGGGGGAAGGTGAGCAGGTGGGGGAGACTTACCCCAGTGGCTTGCCTGTCTTCCTTTGACTTTCTGGGGATGCCGGCATGGAAGTTTGCAAATGGTGATCATGTGATTGTGGGGCGCTTGGCAGCTGGTTGTAAGTGCAAATGGGTTGCCAAGCACCCAGATTGCAATCATGTGACCATGGGGGTGCTGGGATGGCCAGGACTCTGAGGACCAGTCATAACCACCATTCATTCAGTGCTGTCATAACTTTGAATGATCACTGAACGAATGGTCATAAGTCAAGGACTACCTGTATATTGAAGCATCTAGATAAGTCATCTCCTAGGATGTTGTACACCCCAGGGCTATTTTATCTTTGGAATGATAATGGAAAATAATTTATTCAGTAACTAGAATTATAACTATGAGCTTGCTACATTCTGACTGCAAGACAAAAATGTCCTAGTAACTATTTTTTTTAATGCCCATGTCCTCCTGGTCTTGACTAACTCTCATTTCCAGTCCACAGCTTAGGTAGCTTAAACTATTTAGTTCCAATTTTAAGTAATTCTCCCTCCCCTCCCTACACAATTTTTGCTACAGACACTGTCTTAACACACTTTTTCTATAGAGTAATTGCTGACATGATCAGGGGCTGGATCTGCTCAGCTCCTACTGTTACTTTAGGCTGCTGCAACCATGCAGCTCTCCTCCAATAATGGAGAACCATCCTGCGTGACCTTCTTTGCTTGCACAGCAGAAGAGACCAGACACCTGGCTTCCACAGAGAAATTTGCTGGTGCAATATCTGATTGGTGCTTTCCAGAGCAGTTAGCAGGTCTTATGCAGGCTTATTATAAACATGAGTGTAGCACTCTTTTGGCTTCTGTATTTACACACCATTCAAAAGAGACAATTAAAAAGCTAAGAAGAAAACAGAAAGACCAGAACACATCCTCTCCAGCAGCCTACACCCAGATAAGCAGGAATTAACACCAGACAAATAATCAGGCAGGAGACAATAACCTAATCAAGGAACTACCAAGGAGAAAACCACACCCCCACCAACACTGTCAGGGCAAGCTGCTGTATATAAACAGGGAACAAACCCCACACTCATTTGCACTGATGATACTACCTAGTCAGATAATTAAACATCTGCAGGCAAACAACCAAGCTCAGAGAGCACCAACAACTCCACAGTTCAACCCTGAGCTACATATATTCTCTTCTATTGGACCCAGATAACCCCTAGATGCTAGGGAAAAGTTATTGTATCTTTCTGCTGCCATCTAGGGGTCTTCTGAATTTTTGCAATCTTGATATGACAGCGCTAGACATACAGGTAGTCCTTGCTTCACGACCCTATTTGGGACTGGCAAGTCTGCTGTTAAGCAAAGCAGTCGCTAACTGGGAAATCACAGGACCACAACTGTGTTTTCTGGCTGGAAAGAGACAAGACTACTCAGTTTCACACCTTAGGCTTCTGTTTGCCTCCTAACCACTTCCCCGCCCTTTGGAATGCTTGACTGCCTGCTTACTCTCTTGCACACATTGAAAGCACTGCTTTCCCACTGCTGGTGTGATCTCATTGCTCTTGATGTGTAGAAGGATACTCTCTTGAAATCCCTCTCCAATCTCTCTGCTGTGTGTGTGTGGGGGTGGGGGGTGGGGGGGAAGGGTCAGGCAAAGGAGAGATTGCCTGCAGAAATTACTTGCTTTTTTTCTTCCCTCCCCTCCCCTCCCCATCCCCCACAGTGCAGAGATTGGAAAGAAAGAGATTTGTGGAGTCCTTGGGGTTCTCTGGGCTTGGTTCTTTTCTTGCAAACATTTCATTACCTGGCTAGGTAACATCTTCAATGTTAAAATGGGATGGGGTTTGCTTTCTATTTATGTGCTGTGGCCTGCCTTGTCAGTGCTGGTAAGGGTGGGGTTTTTTTTCAAGACAGTACTGTAAGCTGTTTGTGTAGTGCGTCTGTGGCTCCCAGCCTCGGCTGCCGACACAATCACATTGCTTTCAGAAGAGCAAACAGCAGGTCAGGCACAGGACAACACATTTTGATTGTAATAGTGATCATGTGACTGAGGGATGCTGCGAAGGTCACAAATGGTTGTAAAGTTATTTTTTCAGCACCATTATAACTTTGAATGGTCACTGAACAAATGGTTTGTAAGCGAGTATTACCTGTACATGATTTGCTTGGTATTAGAAGATCCTATTTTAAAGTTTAAAAATAAAGCAGTATCTTAACAACACTTAGTGTACAGCATTGCTCTGCTCAGTTTCATAAATCACTGGCAGGAGCAAACCAAGTAAGTTGGATTCCATCAGGTATGGGCAAAAAGGAAGGAACTGACTAATAATATTCCAGGACTTTAAAATTGGTAAAGACTTTAGTACAAAGAGCAAAACTCTGTTGTTAGTTAAAGAGGCCCAGGAACAGAGCACTATTACTGTTTTGTTTCCCACAAAAATAGGATGGATAACAAACCTGGCTCTTGTGGATAGAAATGGCCCAGGCAAGCTTCAGGGGCAGCTGCTGGCGTCTCAGGTAAGTCCCTGCTGGCCCCTTAAAAACCCATCGCTCCAATCCAATAACATTAGTCACGCCACAAAGGAATCTCACTTTGGGCAGACCTGCAGCAAAAAAACAGAAGTCAGAGTACAAAGCACTCCTACATCAGTTATCGGGTACAGGCAATATGCACAACTACCGTATGTCACAGTACTTTCCTAAATCTTCTCACCTGATATAGAGTAATTGTCAATTAACTGTGAAGCAAAAGTAGAACTGCTTCTCCAAAGAAGCTGTGGCACAAAGCACAGAGGTCTAAGACTATAGTAAAACTGTTCTAAAGGAACAATGCACAGAGTTACATTAGAAAGAGAAATCTAGACTTGATCTGCAGCAATGGAGTGTTGATATTTGTAGTTTGTAAGATCTCAACTAGATTTTTTTTTTTTGGACAAAGGGGAAGGAACAGCATTTTCAAGCAAGTCTGTCAATAGGTGAGGGGTGGAGTTTTTCTGTATATGATATAACTCTCTTGATGTATTTCTTTTTTACTTTTTTTTAATATTAATGCCAGTGTTGCATTACATTCTTAACAGTTGAATGTATTTTCTTCCTATTCATTACAAAAAGAGACCAACAAACATGACTGTCCATGAGGAGATCCTCCAAAGTGTGCCTGTCAGAAACCAACCTTTTCCTTCAGCTTCAAATCCAATCACAACTCCACGAGCCCCATTCACTAGACCTCGAGAAACATCAAGATTCTTTGTAAGCATCACCTAGTGAAAAAAGGATAGAGATAGGAATCCCTTTGTGCTTTTTCCATGGCAGCTTCTAAAACAGACTTACTGCCACTGCAAGTCAACAAAACCATCCTCCATCCATTCCTGGGTAACGGAATCATCAGAAGAGCTCAACTATTTGGATGTAGGTGTTAAAATCAAGGAGACTCTAGCATTTGGCAAGATCTGATTCCATATATGAATGTGATGCAAGGAAAGAGAAGAATCTCAGGAGCAGCCAAAACACCTCAACCTCAAGCAGTGCTCAATTTTGTTTGTTCACCTGGGCACCTTCCTTGAGTTCAATAATGTTGTTCACAGGGCATTGTGCATCAAGAGTCTTCACCAACATAGGATCACTGTCAACAGCCTTGAAAGACCTTAGCATTCCTGAAAAGGAAAGAACACTTTATTCACTAGAATTCCCAATGTGGTGCTTGAAGACTTATATCCTCCCAGACATCCTGCTACACCCGGCTTAATTTTTTTCAAATTAAAAAATAGCAATGGAAACTGGCATGCTACCAACTAAAG